GCAGGAATGTTTGTAAAAACCAAGCAGCACAGGAAGACTTCATTAGCCGTGAAAGTCTGGAATCAGCACAGCCATATTTGCACACCCCTGCTTCTGAGTTAAAAAGTTGCTCCAAGATTTGTGTTATAGAATCAGTTGAAGTGCAGTGTGTTGCAGACGCAGCTTCAAAGACAGCTCAAAGGTCTGAGCCATACATCTAAGATGTGGGGGTAACCAGCTCCAGTTTCTCTGTGTGCCATTACTGAGCCCCTTGAGTGCCAGGAGGTGGTGGCTCACTGCATGTGGAGAGTGGCATCCTCTGACTTGCACCCTAGAGCTCATGAATAGTATCCCCCAACACCAACATGGTGGTAGCAAGGAAAGGCCAAGAAAGACTGCTTATGTGCAACATTTTGATCCCAATGTCAGGACAGTGGAGCCAGTCAACCTCATGCCTTCCACCTTCCCAAACACTGGAATCTTCTAGACAGGAAGCTGGCAGTATTGTAGACTTTAAAGCTCAGATCCAAGACTGCCACTGATGTAAAATCTTTGTGCTTTGCATCCTCCTTTGCCATTTTGCTTTAGCTTTGGAAAAGGCCACTTCACCTCTGTTTTCCTCCCTGCTACAATGGGTTAATAACACTTCCTTTCTTTTGCAAAGCCTAGGGACATCATCAAATGAAAAACCACTATGGATGGGATAAAGGATTGTTCTATAAAGAATTACTTCAAAGACATCTCACTCAAGGGGTGTTTCCCATGGAAAGACAGTTATAGATTGAACTGTGCATCTTTCCTCTACAGTTTTTATCCAAACATTCGGCAGTATTGGCCAGTACTGTCATAATATGAAGCTGGTAGTTATAGTTAGATACTATTCCTGTAAGTTTTACTTTCCACCCCAATCACTGATAGCTCTATAACTGAAAAGTCAATGAGAATAAAATCAAATATATAGTGAATGCCCCAGTAGGAATACTTGGATTATTAGTCTGTGCCCTGCTTTCTGGCATTTCCCTCCGTTTTGTGAGAAGTAAAGTAGATAGATAAGCTTGTTATGAAACAAGAAGTCCTAGCAGATGTTCTCCTGTTTTATGAAAACTAAGTTATTTAGGGAAAAGAGCTGACTAATAGCAAATGCATCATTTTGAAATGGAGCCAGTGACAACTCATTTGAGGAAAAAAATAGGGGTTTAAGCATGAAAAGTGTTAAATGTGAAACAGCTAGGACAAACCTTCCATGTGTAAAAACATAAACTTGGACTCAGAATAAGAAATATCCCTCCAAAGGGCATTTTTTAAAATTAAATCTATAATCTTTTCCAGATATAAAGCTAAAGCGATTTAGGATAATGATGAAAAAAAAGTCTTTTCTTTCATCACTTAGAGCAGCAGAACAAATAGGAAAACATTTTAAATGGGCATAGCGAATGTTCTGAAGTCAGTTCAGCACCAAAAATTGGTTGTGAGTCCACTAGTCTGAAAAATATTATTAGAGGGAGAGAGAAACACGACTTACTTAAATTTAGCTCTCAACCCTTTTTTGCCATGCTTCATATTTGGCTGTAAATCTGCTACCAAACCATTTGCCAATAACCTGGTGCGGGTTTTTGCTGCACACAATATCATTGTCTCTTTTTTGTTTCCCCTGTGACCAACCTCAAGGCTGTCGGTAAAGGGACATGCTTAATAAAGACTGTTGAGAGTCACTGCCAGAGTCCAGATGCTGCCAGAATGGAGCTTCTGAATCTGTGTATGTGAGACTAGAGGACTCAAACATATATTTATTTCTCTGTTCCTAATTCTAACTTGCAAGGGAAGTGACTATGCAGGAGGTATGCTGTGGGTTTAGGTGGTAGGATCAGTTCTTTAAATTCATACACTCTCTCTTTGGAGGAACAGGTTACTGTACTTTAACTGAGTGATGGCAGCTGTCCTCATGCTTGCTTTCAGCCTAGACCAACTGTAAAGAAATGTGCAGTAGTTTAGCCTGCAGTCTGAGTTAGGTCAGGCATGGATTTAAGGAGGCTTTAGCATCTTCATTTGCCTGCCCGGCTGCATGCACAAAAATACATCACATTCAACAGCTGCACATCAACTTCATCCACCATTTAGATCAGGATGTTGTTCATCCCTGCATTGTCATTTTCTATGGACTAAAGACAAGCCCATAGTCGTTATGGCTCAGTTGAAGTGTGAAAATTTTTACGCCACAGTAACTTGATTTCCCATCTGAACTCCAGTTCAAGACATGCTGCATTCGAAGTACCTGTTACAGTTGTCAAACATCACCTCTTGGGAAAGTTTCCTTTGTACCAACTGTTTGCCCACAAATGTCTCTCAGTAAGTGAGAGATATCTCAGCTACAGACACTCAAGCTTGAGGATCTTTTTAGAACAATATCCAAAGACTTTTGCTGCATTGACATACAGAAGAGTTCTTTGAGTGGTGACTTCAGATATGTGACCCAGCAATGTACACATATGACAAATAGTTGACTTCAACTTGCTCAGTGAAGAGTGTCATATGATTCTTACCCACCTGCTCTTACATATCTTTCCACTTCCCCTTGTATCAGGGCATGCAGTAATATTCTGTAGCTATATATACATAAAATAACCACTAACTTGGAATGTCACTCCTGATCTTACTCTACAACTCATGTCACTTAATTGACCATCAGACCTAGCTGAAGTGGATGAAAACTTCAGGTCCTTTGCTCCTTTTGTATAAAAAAACATGTAGTTGGTTATCCCAGATTTTACTGGAACCATGAGTCAGACTTTCTACCTATTCTTTGCATTGAACAATTTCTAGTTGCAGTGAATTGAGAATCTTTGTGTTCCTTCCTAGTGTGAACGCATTCACTCTCATTGCTTTTAATCTAAACTGTCCCTCCACACTGCTGTAAAAAAGCAGCACAACTCATCTTGCCTTACAAAAAAAAATTCCTATGAAGAAAGGTCTTCATGTTTACTAAATTCTCCTCACATACAAATCACAAAAAGGCTACAAACCATCGGAACACAAAATATCAGTGATATCAAGTAGTTTTTGGGTGCCTGCCATGGCTTTAAATAATAAGGAGTGGGAAGGAAAGCAAATGACCTCTTTTTATTCCTATGTCTGTACAGTGGAGAGAAGAAAAGTCACCTCTGCAGCAGTCTAACACGCATTTTGATATTTGAGAAGCAGCCTGGCCTCAGTCCCTCTAAAACAAGCTGCTTCTCCTTACTAGCAGTAGCATTGTCAGTGTGTGGTGTGGCTGAAAGCACGCAGGAAAAGCATTTCTGAATTAAAATGCACAGAAGTTTCCTTACTCTGCTGATTTAGCGGCTGGACAATCCAGAGTGGGTCCAGAGCATTTCATATAACTTCTCTGAACTTGTTTCAAATGGCATTTTGATCCATCGATCATCGAGGAAACAGTGGCTCAAAATGATCTATAAATTATCATCACAACACCCTTGTAAATAACAAAGATGGCATCCAATTAATTAGCTGAAAGCCTGATTTATTGTAGATTTGGAATAAAAAATAACTTTTGGCTAATACTTAATAAAATACCAACAAACTAATTAATTGGAA